CCATGTACTAGGTATATAGTTCAAAAGAATATTATCCTCTGAAAATTTTAGCTTTTGTTGTTTTTTTAGGTTAAAAAACCCATGATAAATGTATTAGACTGTATGTAGTATATATATGTACTTATGTTTTTTTAGGCATAAAAAACCATGATAGTCATATAAATGTATTAGATTGTATGTAGTATATATACGTACTTAAATAATATTTGCATTAGATAAGTATATATAGAATTGTAATTGTTTACTGTTATGACATATTAACACTTTTTTTTCTTTGCTGTATTTCACTTTTTTGTTAAAGTATGTGTTTTTTTCTTTTCTCTTTTTGAAAAAAACGAATAAAAAATAATTGAGAAAGTGAAGAAGACTATTTCTCTGTGACTTTTCATTGGAAGAAATTTGATAATTTTAAGAATTTCAGGTGTAAAAGGCCTCACACTTTGTCTCTTCATCCTTGTAAGACTTCAGGATAGATAATCCATTTATGATACTAGGAAACTGAGATTGAATCAGAGTGTATGCTGTATCAGTAAGACCAATGCTGTATCAGTAAGACCATAAGCTCAGCTGAACTTTGGTCTTCGTGGTCCAACTGTATATCTTGAACCAAGGTACAAACTTCCCTCGTGTTGTATTGCAAGTGATTTCACATATGGCTCTCTTGTGAAACTAGTGTGCTAAAGTTTGACAAGTCTGATTCTGCTTTAAAAGGGAAAAAATTGTGTGATAGGCAGATGAAAGGCTGAAACATATTGACAAATCAAACGTAGTAGTAGGAAGAAGGCCAAAAGGCCAACTACATGAGTTTATCTTAGTTATAATCTGTTATTATCTTCTTGTCTAAATGTCTTTGCCATTTCTACAATCCAAGGACTAGTACTAACTCTAAGTACCAAGTCCATAAGCCCACTTCTTATGCTGTTTAATTTTGAAAAGGGTAAAATGATACCTCTGCATACTGATTAAAGGACTATTCGGTGTCACTGTGCTGTAGTTTTGACATACAACCCTGTTTGAACTTAATTTGGTCTTGTGTATTTTTAGAACCTTTGTTAGCATATCCTAAAAAACCTTGCAGAAGCATGTTTTGTTTTCTCTTGTACACTTTTAAAGGATTATTTTACTGAGATATGATTTAACAGTGTCTTAAAATAAATAAGAAAATAAAATAAGAGTAATATAAAAACATAATCATACGATATGTATTACTGAAATCAACTTAGCATCAGATATTAGCTTGGTCTCTGCAGCGAAGATTAAATAGTTCCGGTGCTTGCTTCATGACTTGGTTAGTTAGCTTGGATATATTTATTATATTTATTTACTGGATTTATCGACATCACAGTTGAGGAGACTTTCAGCAGGTTACAACATCCATTAGTACAAAATAAAGCATCCAGTATCCAACAATAATTTGATTGATTGATTGATTGATTATGCGTGATCAAGTTGTTGTTGACTCTTAGTGACCACATAGATAGATTTTCTCCATGAATACAACAATAGATGAAACCTAGCATACATAGCACAATTATAGATGGGGTCAATTCCTAAATCAAAAGGCTTTCTGAAAAAGCTGTTAATTGTTTATGGAAAGCCAACAGCATGGAGGTATATCAGGTTCTGGGGGAGGGGGGATTTTTTTGAAACTGCAGGCATCCCATCACAAAATAATGCCTGCAGACCTCTCCCCCCTCTCACTTGGCAGAACTGGGGGACTACTAGCAAGTTCTCCTGGGGCAACCATGCTGGGTGGGTCAATACTGGTTGAAGGAAGTGGTCTTGCAAATACCTTGGGTTGAATTCATCACATTAAAATTAATTCTTATTTCAGACCCAGTGACAGTAATATATTTCTATGAATATTTTCTTTCAGGTGTAAACATCCTATTTGGATATGTAAGCAATTTAAAAAATCCAATTTTTTTTGGAGGGGGAATTGAAATATGTATGATATTTAATTTTTAATATCTGTAAAAGATTGACATTTACTTTATTACTTTATAAAATGTGTTGTGTATAACATGGTTCTCTGGTAGAAATATATTTGTTGTAAAACATTGAAACATAGCTTATTCAAACAATAATAAATTGATAGAGTTTTATTTAAAATTGTTTTAATTTTTGTTACAAATGGAGCTATAAGTGCTGAACTTTAAAGAAAGTAGCATCTCTTAACTGTTTGCAAGCCTACCTCTCCTAATGTTGAAATAAAAACAAATGTAACTATTGTAGTGAACAAAGCATTTTTATATTCTAGGTTGTGTTTCCTCTTTATCAAATAAATACAGAAAGTTTTGATTTAAAAACAAGAAAAAATAATGGAAACCAAGGGCCAGAACTACATTTTGCAGTCAGGTGTTTAATCAGTTTCAATTTCTGAATCTGAAGTATTATCAACAGTTTCTCTTCCTTTTCCTTCTCTATTTTTTCATGAATTTCTGAAAACTAAAGGTTGCTGTGTTAAAGTGTCCTTGCTCTTTCATATGTTAGCCTATTCCCTGATATGATGTATTTCCAGATATAGACCGATTCTTTTCATAGCTATTCATTTTATTTGTGATTTAAAATGAAACACATGGCAAAATATTCCATATTGGGGGAGAAAAACAAGACTAAGACCCCAATCTTCACCTCAGTATTCTTTTTCCTGCAGCTTTGCTTCATACTTTCTCTAACTTTTAATTGCCTTTTGTCTCTCTCCTGCTGTGATGCAATCACTTCTGTGCCACACATCCGTTTCCAAGAGATGCCGTGGGCAAAGCCTTCTTCCCCTCCTTCCTCTGCTGGATCTCCAGTGTCCTGTTGCTTTTTCTGTGCCTCTGGTCTGTTTCCAAAACAGGTTTTCCAGTTGGCGAGACCGAGCTCTTCCCAGCATTCCATTCTAACTGTTTGTTTTGGAGATGATCCTTAGGAAATGTGCCAGATGATTAATTGAAGGGAGCATCACATCTCCCAGTTTAAGACAAATTAGAAAAGCACAAGGACAGCTCTGATCCATCAACAGTTGGATGGCCATTTTGCTAGGAATAAGAAAGTTCTAGGAACTTCTTGAAGTGGAAAGCCCCTTCTGCCTAAATTGATTAACTTTTTCTAGTAGCTAAAATAGTTCAATTGAAATATTAAAGTAAAAAAAAATTGAGTGTGAAGTGTTATATTTAAGCAAATTAAAGATTGGGTTGAAATTTGCTTTTTAAGAATACTAATATTTTAGACCAGGGTTTGTTTATCTAGTTTCATCCAAATATACCTGGAGTGCACAGGGTTTGAGGAAGACTGATTTAGGGTTTAGTCATGCTTTTTCACAAAAATGTATATTTGTTTCTTAGGAAGAGTCACCTGAAACATATTAATTACAATGCTGATTTTATCAAATCAGATCTTTATTATGGTCATAGACCAGCATAAAGAGGGTGGGGTATGGTCAATTAAAAAGCGTAGAAGATACATTAGACTCTAAAAAAATTATGAAAAGCTAGAAGATATTAAAACAGTATATATGAAAGTCTATAAGAATCTAAAAGGAGGGATAGGAGCATTAAATGGGTGTAGGGGAGCATAAAAGCATATGTGGAAGACTAAATGCTGATTTTAAATTTGCTTGATTCTTTCCAGTTGCCTGATTTGACCAATGACAATTCAGAACACCATGAATTTAAAAAAATGTTTATAAAAAGAGGAGAGGGGGAATTATGGAAAAAACAACAACAACAGATATTTTCTGTTCTACAACTCTTTCATCTCAGCTTCGCAAGTAAGGCAGTGATAGCTGGTAGGCTGCCTTTAAAAAAAGGCTGCTTCACACACCTATGTTGCTTAGGTCTGATGTGAAAATAACCAATGTTTGTAACCCTTTCTTGGTCATTTGCAGATGGTACTTAGTCTCTACAACTGGGGAGACAAATGGTTGCTTATAATCCTGCATTAGGATTGTATAAGAAGCTTATCCAAACCATTATGGAAAACCCTTTAGCACTTATGGAAAGTAACGTATAATATTAAGTAGTATGATGAAGCACTTGCAGTTTACCAACCTTATAATATTTGTTTAGTTGAACAAGGGATTCATTTGCAGAGTCCCTTTTGCTCTATGTATCAGTGCCTATTCTTGAAAAATCCACTTTTTCTTTTGGAATAGCTAATGGATCTTCTGTTTTCCTCTCTCCTTTTCAACAGGCAAATTCATGAGGTCCAATCGTACATGGGCCGTCTGGAAACCTCAGACAAGGAGTCTGTTCACTGTGAGTAATTGATGTATAAAAGTAACTGTTGGCTTTATCTAATGCCACAAGCAGTTTGCCCTCTAATATGTATCTGAGATTCCCCTTGTTGAATTCAGTAAAATATAAATCATAAAAAGTCATGAGTAGTGACATTCTTATATTCCTGTTAGTCTGTTGTCCTTTGGAAACACACAGTAATGTACAGATTATTACAAAAAAGATGTGGATAATTGATGCTAATTCAGATAAAATGTTATTTCCTTATTTCCAAGATGCTTTCTATAACGTGTGTGGTGTGTGTACCCACATACACATACATATCATGCTATACCACAGCTGAAAGCGTTCATTTTTGGAGGACATTCTTGTTCCACTAGTGCTGTAGGGATAAAAAGGCTGTGACTGGGTTCCCATATTTCATTAAATCAGAGTTTGCTTACCCATAGTGTATTAAAGAAATCTCAGTTGGCTAGGTTCTCCCTAAAGCTGAGCCATAAATCATAGTTTACAAACCACAGTGGCAGGATTCTCATCACACACAAAACCATAAATAGATTACATTAGTGCAACATATAAACTCATTTTGCATACTATCCCTGTTGGCACTAGTATCAATATATCACACCTTACCTCTTACAGAAAGAATTGTGGGTTCAGCAAATTGCATATATTAGTATGTGAATATAAATAAGTTGTATGAAGTTTTGCTTCAGATTAGTGACTTGTTTTAAAATATATATGTTCATATATTTAGTGTTCTAAGAAATGAAGAATGATTTCCAGAAGGCTAAATATGCATATTAAGAAATGGTGAATTTATAAATTATTCTTTCTTTTAAGGAGAACAGTCCCAGAACAATCACACTTTTAACCACAGAGGCAGTGGTAACTCATTATGAGAAATGAAGCATTCTCACACATTTCAAGATATAAACTTGGTGTGGCATTTGTTATTACATTCACATGGCTATCACCTTCCCCACTGTCCAATCTACTGTCATCCAAATTGCTGCACTGTTATCATTTCACTCATGGAATCATATTGCCCAGTCTTAATTTGTTGCTATAAAGCCAGTTCAAAATCGAGAGTAGATAAATGTCATTAAGCCAACTTTAATGGGATTGGTGCACAGTTGTCCTTCCAGGAATACAAAACCACCTTTTTTTGCAACAGTCTGGACACAATATATCCAGAGCTCCTTGTAAACAGACAGATTCCATTTTGGGGGGATATAATTTAACAAAACATTACCATTTTAAAACTGTAATTTTCCCCAACTATCTGGTTCACCGTAATGTTAATGTCCATTCAGGAAATGGCCTACCAGTGGACATGACCCAATCATATGTGTTAAGGTGTCTTCAATTTGATAGGTAATTGTCTCCACCATTGGTAGGATGATAACTAACCCTTTTTGAACATTCTTTGGGGAATTCAGTAAACCTGAAAATTATTTTTTGTTGAATGAATCTGACTTTCAAATCAAAGGAAATATATTCGGTGTTTTTAAACACCTGAGACCATTTATTTTGTAACATAGGATTCTCCAATTTTCCAATCCTCATTTCTTGTATATTACTCAATTTTATTTTTGTAAAAATGTTACTGATAGTATTTGAATGTTGATTTAGCCTCTAAAAACCCTTTCCTGGCATTCTCAAAGTTTCAGAGGCTGCTAAATTGTATGGACCAACAAAGAACATAATAAGTATTTCACCTGCTTTTTTTAAAATAAGGGTTGTTCCAAATCAATACCTCATGAGTATTCAAATGAAATATTAATTTCTTCTCCAGTTGTATCCAGATATGTCTAATCATTTAAAATGCTGGAAATATCACTGAATTTCTACTATAGTTAGAACCAAATACTTGCCAAGATTTCAAGGATGCCAGATAGTAACTCTTTAATTGGGCCCAGAGTGATACACGTTCAGTGTCATTTTCATTCTAGTACATTACTAAAGTCAACAAATAGGCCAAACAATATAGTTTAAATCCAGAATATTGAAATCAACATTATTATAAAAAAGTCAACGTTTTTAAGAGATAGCCTTGGTATTTGATCATTGCATAAGAAATTTACTATTAACTTGTCGCTTTGTTTAAAATAGCTAAGTGGACCTAACATAGACATACTATCAAAATCTATATCATTCATGAAGCCATGTCCGTTCTGATCACATTTATTCTTTTCCAGAATCTCATTGATTTATTTATCCACCTCTTGATAGCCCTTTTTATCTGAGCTGTACAAGTTGAGATACAGTGGTGCCTTGGGTCACGAACTTAATTTGTTCCGCGACTCTGGTTGCAACCTGAATTGGTCGCGACCCAAATCAAATTTTCCCATAAGGTTCAGTGTAAATACGGTTAATCCGTTCTGAACCATATGTATTTTTTTTTTAACCACAAAAATATGACACAAAATACAGTACAGTACAGTATGAAGAGAGAGAACACTAACCGTGCTTGAGGTGTGGAGGACAGGAAGGCGGGTGGGGAGGCGGGTTTTGTTTTGAGGGAGAGTCCCCCTCCCTACAGGAAGCCATGACCACATGTCACAGCAGGGAAAATGGCTGCGGATCCTGTTCATCACCCGATGCGGAGTTCGCGAATGGAAGCAAAATTTTGCGAACAGTGGTGTTCGTGACCCGAATTGGTCGTGAACAGAAGTGTTCGTGACCCGAGGTACCACTGTACTCATTTCTACTAAACAGGATGTTTTCCTAGGAATAATTATCCCTAGGTATTGAATAAAATCAGAACAGTAAACAAATCCAAATTTTGTATACACTTCCATAGATATCTTATTACCAGTTGCCAGGATATTACATTTATTCCATTGTATTGTACGTCCAGAATATTTATTGCTGTATTACAGGTATGGGTAAAGTTCTTTAATAATTATTCAAAAGGCCTGAGATATAATCTGTGCATAACAACAACTTGTGTTCAGTTCTTGCTATGTGAAACCCTTGAATGTCACCATTTTGTTTGTGTGATTAAACAATTCAATAGTTCCAACCCCAAGTTAAAGATAAAAGGAGATAAGGAACATCCTTTTTGAGTAGTAATTTAATTTGAACTTTTGTCTGGACAGAAGTAGTAACTGGCCAGGAGGGTACAGTTAAGCACAGCTTTTCATTGTGTCTGAACTGTAGTACTATGTGGGACTAATGTGTTCCAAACAGACCTGTCATGGTTTAAAGTTGATTTCTGAATCCATTCCGGTTTGGGTACCTTTAACCATAGTTCCTAGTCCTTTTGTAATATAAAACTATGGTTGTTTTGACTCCCTAGCGTCTTTGCTTCTTGTAGGAAGAGAGGAGCAGAGTAGGTGTAAAAAAGAGCTGCAGCAGATTGGGGTCTTTTTAAGCGATAGGTGATGATGTCAACTTGACCAACATAGACTGTTGGCTCACAAAAGCAGGCATTGGGTTAGAAAGAAAATATTGTGCAGGTTAAAGTAGCAAAAGAACGACTGACTTCTTTTTATTTTTCTCCCTCTGTAGTGGTAGAAAATGAAATTCAGGCACGAATAGACAGAATTTTTAGCAATCTAGACCGTTTGGAAATCTTCTGCAACAAGGAACCTCCAAACAAGCGGCAAAATGCCAAACTGTGAGTGATTATTCTTCTTGCTTTTATCTTAAGGCATTTTAATTCACTGAGTCTCATCAAGGCATGTGCTATTCTTATGCTGATATTGTTAATTGCCTCTCAAACAGAATGAGGGGTAATAAATGTCCTGATTCAGATACATTTCTTTGGTTCTATGAAGCTGTAGCTGGCATTGAGAGGAGCCTGTCCTGAATTGCAGTAATCATTGCCATGAGTGACTTCTCAGCAGGTCTCCTGGGTTAGATACTGTACTATGGGACCCATAGGCACAATTGGAAATCTTGGTGGAACCCATGATGGAGTGGTTGGTATATCACTGAATTCAAGTGTGTGTGTGTGTGTGTGTGTGTGTATACAGGTAACCCTTGCTTAATGACAGTTCTTTTAGTGACTGTTCAGAGTTACAATGGCGCTCAAAAGTGACTTATGACCGGTGCCCAAAGTTACGACCGTTGCAGTGCCCCCATGGTCATGTGATTGTAATCCAGGCGCTTGGCAACCAGCTCGCACTTACGATGGTTACAGTGTCCCAGGGTCATGTGATCACCATTTGCAACCTTCCCAGCCAGCAAAATCAATGGGGAACCATGTGATTCACTTAGTAACCACATGATTCACTTAATGACCATGTGATTCACTTTATGACCATAGTGATTCGCTTAACAACTGCTGCAGAAAAGATCATAAAATCGGATCTGGTCATGTGATGATTCGCTTAACAACCACATCACTTAGCAACCAAAATTATGGTCCCAATTGTGGTTATTAAGTGAGCACTACCTCCCTCCCTCCC